TATCTATCTATCTATCTAAATTATTAGCAATCTGGTTTTGTCTCTCTAGAGAACCCTGTCTAACACAGTGGTCAAGACCAGAGAAGAACAGATGTGTTTGAGTTATGGCGTTTGAGAGAACATTGAAAGTATCATGTGGACTACCCGGAGAGCAAACAGATCTGTCTTGGAAGAAGTACAGCCAGAATGCTCGAGATTGTGCCTTGTTGACTTTGAACGTGTTGTCAGCAGAGATCAGTCCCTGGAAAAGGACAGCTCGCTTGGTAACGAAGAGGGTCCCCGGCACAGGAGGCCCTCAAGGAGATGGAGTGGCACAGTGGCTGCACCGAAGGGTTCAAATCTCACCCCAACTGAGAGCATGGGACAGGACTGGCCGTGGTTCGCTTTCTTGTCCTGCGGGGCACTGAGTTAGAATTGACTCAGTGGCTCATAAGAACAACAACCACAACCCCAAGGACTCATTCCCAAACCCGATAGTGTCTCAAAGCCAACCCCTTGTGTTGGACAGAAGCCATCCTTAGAGTGCAACCCTGGTGTCACACAGTCACACACTCGCCACTGATGATACCACAGACACACAGGTTCAGGGGTTTGGTTTGTTTTATATTATACATATTGTATTGACAACCCCCACCCCCCACATCTAACTACATCCGAACCTTTGGTAAGTAACCTCTTGGGCTTCCTCCCAATTCAGGTAGGTTTGTTCACTTTATTCATTTGGAACCGAATCGTCAAGCACGCCCTAAAGATTTGATCGTGTCACCTTTGACGAACACCTAAAGCGTCGGTGATTTCCTGCCTCCGCAAAGATGGCTGCGATGGGCAGAGGCTTGTGAACAAGACCGTAACAAACACCATTGCTCTGCGGCTTCTTAGAACACATTACAAAGCTACGATGCTCAACCTGGTGGGGCAGCCCAGAGACAACACTGTCCTCAAGTTGAGAGAGTAGAAACTAACTCTTCAAGGACATTGTTAATACACAGACAAAGAATACATGAGTCTGCTCGGGATGTAAGGACAGGAAATGATACAGAGAATACAGAAAACCATACAGAGCCAGAGGAGCCTCTCACACCCGTCACCCAAGCAGGCTGCACCTGGGTAAATCTGACACCAGAGTGGCGCCCTCTGCTGGTTTCCACAACAGTGTAAAAATACTGTGCACGCCAAGTACAAGAGGTTGGGAAATTAACCCAACGAAGATTCAGGCACCCTCCACCTCAGTAAAATTCCTAGGGGTCCAGTGGTGTGGGGCATGTCGAGATATTCCCACTAAAGTGAAGGATAAGCTATTGCATTTGGCGCCCCCAATGACTAAAAAGGAGGCACACACCTAGTGCACCTCTTTGGATTTTGGAGGCAACGTATCCCTCACTTGGGTGTTCTACTTCAACCTATTTATCAAGTGACATGAAAAGCCTCCAATTTTGAGTGGGGCCCAGAGCAAGAAAAGGTTCTTCAACAGATTCAGGCTGCCGTGCAAGCTGCTTTGCCACTGGGACCATATGATCCAGCTGACCCGATGGTGCTAGAGGTATGTTATATCTATCTATCTTTATAAATATATATATATAATTATCAGCAATCTGGTTTTATCTCTCTAGAGAACCCTGTCTAACACATTTTGGTACCAGGAGTGGGGTATGAACCCATGCGGACATATGTCCACACCTACTCTGGATATGGATTTGCCTTCCCTGCATGGGATGCTTCTACCAAAACTACTATTCGTGGACTTACAGAATGCCTCATCCACC